AAACTAAGCACTTTCACTCTACAGCATGCACTCTCCTGTATTTCTTTTTCGTTTCTTCTGTTACACATATAGGTGGTCAGGGATTTAATTATGACTTTTAAACTGACCAAATCTGTGAACATGAACGTTATTCAGCTTCCTCTTCTTTGGTACTAGCAATCATCATGAATAGGGTGACCAGATGTCCTGTTTTTTAAAGGGACAGTCCCGTTTTTGGGCACCTATTACCTTCCCTCCTCCCCTCCCCCCCACACTTTCGCTTTTTTTCCACAGTTGAGTATCTGGTCACCCTAATAATGAACCCAAATTCCTGGTGAATGGGAGGGTAATCAAGTACAGGATTTGAATGCATAGAAAAATCCCTTCTCATTTAATTTTGTTTTAATTTGCATATTTTAAGATAGTTATATCCTACAGTTCTTCCCCTTGGACTGAGTGGCACACACAGCTCCTGGAAGATCTGTTTACAGTACTCTCTTTCCCTCCATCCTTAAAATCTAAAATCTGAGGCCTTGGCTACACTTGCAGATGGACAGCGCTGTGAGTTAAACCTGACTTCGTGCAGCTGAGTAGGGAGAGCGCTGCAGTCTGTCCACACTGACAGCTGCCTGCGCACTGTCGTGGCCACATTTGCGGCAATTGCAGCGCTATTGGGAGCGGTGCATTATGGGCAGCTATCCCACAGAGCACCTTTTCCCATTCTGGCGCCATGGGTTGTGGGAAGGGGGCGTGGGTGCGGGGGATTCTGGGTCCTGTTCCAATGCCCCGTGATGCATCGCTTCGCATCTTAGAAATCCCTTTGTTTCCATCCACCTTTGGCACCATCTTTCAACGGTTTCTGTGCAGCGAAATCTGTCTACGGGAAATGGAGTCCGAACTGCTGAGGAGTATGCTGATGAGTCTCGCCAGCACGTCATGTTTGGCTATCGAACTATTCCTTAAGATCCAAAGTGACAGTGTTAGTGAGGGTGAGGATTCCGATGATGATATCAAGACGCGTAACGCATACGACACGAAATTGCTTGTGGAATTCACGGACATGCTCAGCACCGTGGAACGCCGCTTTTGGGTTCGGGAAACAAGCTCTGAGTGGTGGGATCACATCGTCATGGAAGTCTGGGATGACGAGCAGTGGTTGCAGAACTTTCGGACGAGAAAAGCCACTTTCATGGGACTGTGTGAGGAGCTTGCCCCCACCCTGCGGCGCAAGGACACGAGATTGAGAGCTGCCCTGCCAGTGGAGAAGCGGGTGGCTATTGCAGTATGGAAGCTGGCAACTCCAGACAGCTACCGGTCGGTCGCAAACCAGTTTGGAGTGGGAAAGTCAACCGTTGGAATCGTGTTGATGGAAGTTTGCAAGGCCATTAATCGCATCCTACTCAGAAGAACCGTGACTCTGGGTAACGTGCAGGACATAGTGGATGGCTTTGCAAAAATGGGGTTCCCTAACTGTGGAGGGGCGATAGATGGGACGCACATTCCTATATTGGCACCACCCCACCTAGGATCCGAGTACGTTAATCGGAAGGGGTATTTCTCTATGGTTCTCCAGGCACTTGAGGATCACCGTGGGCGTTTCATTGACATTAACACAGGCTGGCCCGGAAAGGTGCATGACGCACGCATCTTTCGGAACACTTGGGTGTTCAGGAAGATGCAGGCCGGGACTTTTTTCCCAGAGCGGAAGATCACGGTAGGGGAAGTTGAAATGCCCATTGTGATCCTTGGAGATCCCGTTTACCCATTAATGCCGTGGCTCATGAAACCCTACACCGGGAGCCTTGACAGCAGCAAGGAACGGTTCAACTACAGGCTGAGCCGGTGCCGAATGACTGTGGAGTGTGCCTTTGGCCGTTTAAAGGCCCGCTGGCGATCTCTGTATGGGAAGCTAGACTTGGTCGAAAGCAGCATCCCCGCGGTTATATCCGCATGCTGTGCCCTCAATAATATTTGTGAAGGGAGGGGTGAAAGCTTCACTCAGGCATGGACCTCCGAGGTTGAACACCTGGAGGCTGAATTTGCACACCCAGAGAGCAGGGCTATTACAGGGGCCCAGCGCGGGGCTGCAAGGATTAGGGATGCCTTTGGGGAGCAATTTGAGGCTGAAAACCAGCGGTGATATCTGGTGTCCTGCACGGGAGTGAAGAGCAGTAGTTCCAATCTTTAGGAATCAGTGTCTGCTAAGCAGACAAGCAGACTTGCGGTGCCTGTTTATTTCCTGGGCTAAGGAGTCTTTTACTTTATGCAATAATAAAGAATGTTTTCAAAGCCGAATAATCCATTTATTGAAAAGAAAAAAATATTTATTGAAAAGAAACAAGGGGGTGGAGTGGGGAACAGTACAATCACAGATTCGCGTATGTCCTGTCTGGTGTGCTGTGCAGTGAGTGCTGCACTTCAGGGCAGCTATACTGCATGGTGATGGGGGTTGAGTGCAGAGGGTAAGGGTCCTGGTCTTCAGGGTTGGGTGGTGAAGATACTGGTGTTGGAGGCAGTGGGTGGCGTGAAGAACACGTAAGTTGGGGAAAGTGGGTTGGAGGTGACAGTGGGGCACAACGGACAGAGTTTTGGGACAAGGGCTGTAGTGGTGGGTGGCTTTTGCGTTTTTGGTACTGCTCCTCTTTCTGCATGGCTACCAGCTCCTGGATAGCATCTGCTTGGCGCTCCAGGATGCTGATGAGCCTATCAGTGCTTTGCTGCCGGTGCACAGTGCTTTGCCACCGGTGCGCTGCGTTTTCCTGGCGGATCCTGCTTTCTCTCTCCCTCCCGTTCCGTGCTTTCTCATTCTCTTTAATAGATTGCTGCATCACTTCTTGCAGCATGTCTTCTTTGCTTTTTCGCGGACTCTTCCTGAGTCTTTGCAGTCTCTGAGCAGGTGATAAGAGGGACGGCTGAGGTCTCAAGTTTGATGCAGCTGTATAGGCAAAATGCAACATTTAACAGAGACAGCATTGTTTATACCAGACAGAGTAATGATTCCCCCCGCACTTAAGGAGTATAAAACACACAGGGTCTACACAATAGCATAATTTTCCCATCCAAAACAGAGCACACATATCCCACGGGAGCCTCAAAATGGTGAGTAATGGGGACTGATTGTTTCAGGGCTGCACTGTCCTCTGCGTTTCTGTGCCTTGGGGAGAGCCAACAGCTTCAAGGGGCACCTACACTGAACACTGTCCCAACATTTTCCACAGGAGTTCGTCCTGGAGGATATTTCACTGCTGAGGGTGATCTGGGAAGCAAGGGAGGGTCTTCTACTGCAATGCGGCTTCTGCCCTGGCTCATATGCAGCTTGCCTGTGTGCAGCAATGGTCCCCCCACCCCTCGCGGCACAGTGTTGTGGACACGTTAGCCTGGCTGGGACAAGGACCACGGTGGCTCTCCCTATAAACCTGCGCAAGCGCATTGCACACGTTCTGGATGAGACGTTTGAGGGGATTACCGAGGCCGATTACCACGATGTGATAAACCACATCAACGCACTATTCCGCATCTAGGCATGCATGCCTAACCCTCCTCTCCCAAAGAGCCCGCACCAAAAAAATTCCTTCCCGAAAAAAAAATCCCGCTTACCGGGAACCTG